TCCTTCCTGAGAACCCCCCCCCGATACCCCCCCACTCGTGAAAGGACGAGCCCCTTCGCGATTCCCGAGGCCCGAACGATTTAGATCACTAGTAAAATGCCCATGACGATTTAAATCGCCCTGAGTGGGATTGACGTTGCTTGGAGGGCTGGCGGGGAGGCCGCCGCAGCCGAGGAACTGCACGAAGGCGTCGCGTTGCCCGCCCGCCCACGGCGTCGACTCCTGCGCGACGCACTGATGAATGGGGGAGATGAAAAAAGCGGAGGCATCCGGCGGCCCCTCCCCTTCTCCTTCCCCCTCTCCTTTTCTTTCCCTTTCCTCTCGCGCGAAAGGCGAGGAAAACGAAGCAAAGGACGACGGGGAAAACGACGAGGGGCCCTCCCCACGCCCTCGCCACCCTCCTGACTTTTTGCCCCCATACGGGAGTGGGAATCGATCCCCAGACGCCATTCGATCCCGTTGGATGGGGAAATCATTCCCGCTAAAAAGCTCGTCGTCGTCGTCAGGATCACCTTCCTTTACTTTTTGATCATCCTCGGAGTCGTAATCGGGCATGTGATGGCGTTTCTCCCGCGCGCGCGCGACGAGCGCCTCGACAGTTTCAGTAAAAGAAGCTTCCCGACCTCCTCCTCCCGCTCCCCCCCGTGCGATCGATGACGCCCGCCGCCGCCGCTCCTCGCTGAGTTTCTTTTTATTCAATTTTTTATTTCGCTCAGGAAGCGGTCGGGTGGTGGGATCCCCACCCTCGAAAGGGCTGGCAGGCGTTCGCGACGATCCCGCGGCGGCGAAGGCCCCTAAAAAAGGCGACATCTGAATCGAAAACGACCCCCACGACGGCCGTGGATCATCGCCGCCCGCCCTTCGATCCCCAGTGAGCTCCCTGTTTTTTTCCAGATGAAGGCTGGAGGAATCGGGCGGGAGGGCGAGGCCGCGCTTTGAACGCGGCGGTCGTCGATTTCGCCGCGCGTTGCCGCTTCGCGGGCTCCCGCTCCGGCTGCTATTACTCCCACACTCGCTCGTCGAGACGTGGGGGTGGGATCTGAGGCCGCGAAACGGGGCGCCCTCGTTGCATATCTCCTCCTCCTCTTCCTCGTCCTCACTCGCGGTGAGGTCGAATCGGATGGTGGTTTTGACGCCATTCGGGTCGGTTTCTTCGATCACGCAGCGAAATGACGAGGACATCGAGCCGGCTACGGGGCCACAAACGAACGGAACTCACGCCGGCGCTCCTGTCCTCAACGAAATTAACCAATCAAAAAAAAATAAACAAACAAACAAACCCAAGGCTTATATCAATAAGCAAATGGACCAAAGCGGCAGAAAATGTGGATACTCACGTATAGGGATTTGCATATATAGGTCTCCGTATTGTTGTTATTATTATTATTTTTAAGGGGTGGTTACTTTTTCTTGCTGCTGATGCGGTTTGAACAGTTTATTCGAAATTAGAAGGAAAGAAGATGAACAAGAGACACTAGGTGAGGGATTATAGGGGCTTGAAGTATGCCGACCCTTCGCCTTGTCTCACCCCTTTCCGATAATTAAAAATTAAAAAGCACTGTAGATGTATTTCCTATGCTTATCCTTTGCTTTTCCTTCTATGCTTAGTCATAAAATGATGAAAATTTTAAATATCATGGAAGAACATGTAAAGCAAAAGAAGGAAGAAAGGGCAGAAATATTTGAATAAAATCCAAAACCAATACATACAGCCCTGATCATTGCAGGAAATAGAATGCGGGATACATGTTCTCAGGCCAAACAACGGACTGAAAGGTCATGAAACCATCATTTATCTCTTCGTTTTTCATACGGCAAATGATAAAATCAATAACCATCCGCATATAGTAGCCGTTGCCCAATATTACTACTGTATGCAACATCTTGAGAAAGAAGTCCCTTTCTCAAGAGAAGTTTACCTCTCAGCCATGAAAACTAATCCATACGATAATAATCGTAATAGATCCGCATCATGAAGCCAAGATGACAAGGGGTGACGAAATCCTGTATTTCCTTCTTAGCGTTAGGAGGTATGGGGATAAGATATCCCACTTCAAGGGCCCCTTCCGCTGACGCAACGTAAACCGTAGTTCCCACGGGAGCGCCCCATCACTTCTTTGATTCGAACTACCACTTGAGCATTCGCTGCCTTTTGTTAAGAGAATCCGAAGAGACGATTTTGGAGCCCCTTTCACCGGCGTGGTCCGTCAAATGCGGCTTAAAAGGCCTTACCGGATGATCCTCATCCTTCCAGCCATGAGGATAGATAGGCGAGGGAAAGAGCCGGGGAAGGGCGGCGGAATATGTTGGCCCTTTTCCACGCTCACGGGAGTTCCGAACGCTCGAGCTGCACGGGCGTCTTGGCGTGATCCATTGCAACTCCCTCTCGACTCGAGCTTGGGCGATCCGGGTTCGTGATTTCGGATTCCTTTTGGGTTTCCGGCGTGGTCCCTTCCCCCTCGCGCTCCGCGCGGTCGATCTCGCTTTCCTTCAGAAGGAACTGCACCCAGAGCTCCGCGAGGCCGGTTGGGTTCTCCCGCGCGTTCGCCGTGCCCCCCCCTTCCCCGCCATCCGTGGTCGTTGGGTGGGTTTGCCAGAGACGGGACCACATCCCCGGTCGCCGCCCGGGTTGCCGCGGCCCCGGGCGCCGCCCGATCCGCTCCCACATCCCCGCCTCCCACCCGAGCAGATTCCCCAGCACCCGCAGCATCTCCCCGGCCTCCCGCCGCCCGGCGAAGAAGGCGTCGAGGAAAT